AGGATAAGAACCATGGCTTATACTTTTTATTCTTCTTCAGCACTTAATAAGATTTTGGGTATATGGTTGCTATTTAATTAATAAGAGCTTATTATTTAATGGGCTCATAGTATTCCATTGTATGACTACTTTATAATACTTAACCAATTGTTTCTGGTCTTTGTTAGTACAAATAAGCTGCAAAAATTATGTTTCTTCTACATATTTGTATACACATGTAAGTATATTTTAGGAAAGACTCCTAGGAATATAATTGCTCAGTCAAAGATCTTGTATACTGGTAATCTGACAAAAATAGTTTAAAATTAAAGATAATGTTTAACTTATTTCATATGTACAATATTTCAAGACAAAGAAAACGCTGTATGGAATGACTTTATCTATAGACTTGTGATCTTCATAGAACCCTGTATGCTTTTTCTATGTAAAATAGTATAATTGAATGCTAATGACTGATGTGTGTATTGTCAACGTGGGGTCTGTACTCCACAGAGCAGGCAGGAATGAAACATGTCTCCCATTATCATGCTTTCAGAAACTTCTTAAGATGCCTCAGAGAATGTTTAGATTTCCCAGAACATAATATAGAAATCAACACTAGCACTGCCCTTGCCACATCATAAATTTAAATCTTGAAAGTCCTTGTTAAGACACAAATATATTCAGGAAGCAGTATATTCCCTTATCCCACTATCGTGTCAGTGCCTCCTTTGGAAAGTCCCAAGGGATTGGCCTTACATGGGTACATGAAGAAAGAGGTGACATTTTAAAGAGTTGTTTTCTACTAAAAGAATCATTATCGTGGAAAAGGGGAGGAATGGACCAAGATGTGTTAAGGATTACTAAGTAGCAGATTGTTTCCTCGTGTTTCCTGTTAAAGTAGACATTATTATCTCTGTCTCACAGACGAGGAAGCGTGTTCAGAGTATTTGTTGACTTTCTGGCCAAAAAGCTGGTAAGTGGTGGTCAGAATTGATTTGCATTGGGGTCTTGCTAACTCCAAAGCTGGTTCTACTATATCGCGCTGCCTCCTAGTGTGCTCAGAATGCACTGATAGCGTCATGATAGAGACACAGAAGACTTCAGGGCACTGATTCCCCTAGTCTGGCCTTAGGACATTTCAGGAAAATTGCAGCCATGGCTCTGTTTTGCTCTGTCCAAGAAGAAGCAGGAACCGTCTACCTAAAAGCAGACTTTCTAGAAGGTAAAGGGAAGCCAGCAGAAGAGATGGATGGGATAATAAGAAGGAATGACCTTGACCTAGAGTTGAGAGAAATTATTTAATTCAGTCATGTTCTTTGGTCATTATGCTATTTAGAGGAAATAAAAAGGGGAAAAGAAAGAGAAGGCAAATAGAGAGGAAAAGGGTGGTGGTTAGGGGGAATATCTGAGAAGAATGAAACTATTTCTATTAATGGTTCCAATGAGGCAAGATCAAAACTGAAACTCCTTTGCTGTTCCTCTTTATGGTTTTACTTTAGGGGGAAAATCGATTTCAGTGTATTTCAGCTTCTCTACCTAAAAAATATTAGAAACAACCTTTGATTCTAGTAATTACTTTTCTCCCTGGCCTAGGAAATTGCCCATGGATTGTATTTTTTTCTCAATATAGTATATGATATGTATAGACATATAATATAATGAAAAAGCTAGCGGAAATTTCATTCATTTGGACTCTATTAATTCAGAATTTATAATAAAAATTAGCTATTGGTCATGCTGCAATTTATGTCATTGGGAATACACTCATGTGTTGCTGAACAACAGAGATGCCTTCTGAGAACTGTGCAAACATCATCGAATGCACTTACACAAACCTAGATGTCATAGCCTACTACATACCTAGACTACTAGTATGTGGTATAGCCTATTGCTCCTAGGCTACAAGCCTGTGCAGTATGTTACTGAACTGAATACTGCAGGCAACTGTAAAGGGTACAGTAAAAATATGGTATAAAAAATAAAAAATGATACACCTGTATAGGACACTTACCATAAATGAAGCTTGTAGAACTGGCCTAGGACATTACTGTATATCGAGCATGTCAAACTCATGGCTCATGGGCCGCATGCGGCCCACAAACAATATTTTTGCTGCCCAGCCAATATCATGGTATGTCAGAAACATTTCAATAAACATTTTGCAACTTAATTTTTACAATATCCTGTTATACATAATTATTAATAATGAACTACAACATTCGCTAATGACTGATTACTATAATCGTGTTGCATTCATTTCCCTTATGCACCTTACGTGCAGGCGCACTATTTCTCTCCACTAATACTAGCAGTGAATATTTTAACAGCCGATTGCCATGTCATTAGTCTAGGACTGACTTGTTTGGTGTGTGCATAAGGAAATACTTCGCTTTCGGAGGACAAGAAAAATAGGTTTAGCCCTGACCAGTTTGGCTCAGTGGATAGAGCATCGGCCTGCGGACTGAGCTCCTGTTTGGTGTGCGCAACAGGAATTATTTTGCTTTCGGAGGACAAGAAAATAGGTTTATTTGCATTACGCTTATTAATTTGTGCAGTTATTCAGTATCTGATAAGTTAATGTTCAAGATTTATTAAAATATTTTATTATTTTATGTTAACGATTACTCATTTATTTCAGCCCTTTGTATCCAGCATGTCTCTATCGAAATAAACCTACATTTCTAAGAAAATTGAAGCTTTTATTTTTTTGTGGCCCACATAAACTTAAACCTTGTTTATGTGGCCAGTGTTAGCCTTTGAGTTTGACATGCTTGCTGTACTTGATTATAGACTTTATAAATACTGCACACTTAAGCTACAGTACATTTATAAAAAATGTTATCTTTCTTCAGTAGTAAGTAATATTAACTGAAGGGATTAAGCAAAAACAACCAAACAAAAAACCTGATAGAAACATTATAGCAATTACCAGAGGAAAGGGGGTAGGGAGGAAGTAGAAGAGGACATAGGGGCGATAAATGGTGATGGAAAGAGACTTGACTTGGGGTGGTGAGCACACAGTACAATATACAGATGTATTATAGAATGGTACACCTGAAACCTACATAATTTTATTAACCAATGTCACCCCGATAAATTCAATGAAGTTATTATTAAGCTAAAAAGCATAAATAATCTTAGCTTACTGTGACTTTTTACTTTATAAACTTTTAACTTTTTAAAAATTTATTTTAGAGAGAGGAAGAGAGAGAGAGAGAGGAAACATTGATGTGAGAGAGAAACATTGATCAGTTGGTTGCCTTCTGTACATGCCTTGATCAGGGATTGAAACTCAAACCCAAAACCTGGGTATGTGCCCTGACCAGGAATTGAACCTTGAACCTGCCACTTTTTGGCCTATGAAAGGACACTCCAACCAACTGAGCCACACCAGGGCAACTTTTAACTTTTAAAAAAACTTTCTAGCCCTGGGCAGTGTTATTAAGTGGTTAGAGTGTCAGTCCTGCCCACTGAAGGGTCTCAGGTTTGATTCCCAGTCAAGGGTATGTTATGTGGGTTACAGGTTTGATCTCCAGCCTGGGCCACGTGCTGGAGGCAACCTGGAAAAAATATTCTGGAGTGAGGATTAACAAAACAAGCAAACAACAATAAATAATAACAGTAAAAAAACCTTCCTACTCTTTTGTATTAATACTTACTTAGCTTAAAACAAAACACACCCTAGCTGGTTTTGCTCAGTGGATAGAGCATCGGCCAGTGGACTGAAGGGTCTCAGGTTCAATTCTGGTCAAGGGCATGTACCTCCAGTGCAGGCTTGATCCCTGTCATGTGGTTGTTTCTTTCTCTCTCCCCCTCCCTCCCTTCCACTCTCTCTAAAAATTAATGGAAAACTATCCTCAGGTGAGGATTAACACAGCAAAAAACAAAACAAAAAACAAACCCCAAACACAAACACCTTGTACACCTTATCAAGTATTATGCATTGTAGATTGTGCTAAGATCTTATGTGGCTTCATCACTAGGCAATAGAAAATTTTCAGCTTCCTTATAATCTTATGATACCACTGTCTTAAATGCTGCCCATCATTGACTAAAACGTCATTAGGCAGCGTGTGTGTGTGTGTGTGTGTATGTGTGTGTGTGTAGTTTTTTTAAAGACAATGAAGTCATTGAAAACACAAATGGTGATATTCAACTCAATTAAGAGAATTAGTTACCTATAAGTAATTTAAAACCATTTGATCTTTACTGCTTTAGTCTGAATTCAGAACAAAAAAATAGTTGACATTATTCAGCAGTGAAATTCTTGTTTATATGACATTAAATAGCAATTGAATTAATCCCTAAGGGAATACTATACAGCCTTAGATCAACTTTTAGGGAGAGTTGAAAGTAAGAGGTTAAAAAATAATTTTTGAAAGGAAGGGTTATACCAAAAGGAAGTAGAGAATTAGAGTCTAGTAGAAGTATTATTGGAATTCACACGAAAGAGGTTTTTTGGTGACATCCAGAGGTCAGTTTTGGTAGTGTGGTGTGGATGGAAGCAAAATTTCAGGTTTCAAGGAATGACTCAGTAGTAAAGAAATGGTGGCTTCTAGAGAACATTCATTCTAAATGTGTGGCAGGGAAAAGAAGGGTAGTAACAATGGAGGAAGGAGCAGTAAGTGCAAGTGGGGATCTTTGCAAAAAGTGGGAAACTTTTGCATAATTGAAAGCAGAGAAAGGAGACTATGCTAGAAAAGATGCCCAGCTGGCGAGGCTCAGTGGTTGAGCGTCGACCTATGAACCAGGAGGTCACGGTTCGATTCCCGGTTAGGGCACATGCTTGGGTTGTGGGCTTGATCCCCAGTAGGGTACATTGCAGGAGGCAGCCGATCAATGATTCTCTCTCATTATTGATGTTTCTATCTCTCCCTCTCCCTTCCTCTCTGAAACTAATAAAAAATATTTTTTTAAAGAAAAGAATGAGAAGGAATAGGATTAAGAGGCTGGGCAGAAAAGGAAAAAAAATTAATAAATTAGACTTTGCAAAATAAAAATATTCTGTTCTTTGACAGACACTTCAAGAAAATGAGAAAACAAGCCACACACTGGGAAAAAACATTTGCAAGACACATATCTGATAAAGTATTGGTAACCCAAATATGTAAAAGACTCTAAGAAAACAAGCAATCCAAGAAAGAAAAAAATGGACAAAAGATGTGATCATTTTATAAAAGAAGATATACAGATGGCAAGAAAGTACTTGAAAAGATGTTACATGATTGGTCATTAGGAAAATGCAAATTAAAATAGCAATGAGATATCACTGCACACCTAGTAGAATGGCTCATATGAAAAACAATAACAGCAACTGATCCTGTCAAATGCTGGTAATGATGGAGAACAACTGGAAATTGCATTCATTGCTGGTGGGAATGCAAAATGGTCCAGCCACTTTGGGGAACACTTGGCAGTTCCTATGAGATTAAACATGCATTTACTATGACCCAACAATCCCATTCTTATTTAAGAGAAATGAAGACTTACCCCGACAAAAAACCTCTATGGGAATTTTGTAGCAGCTTTGTCCATATTTTTTAAAAGTTAGAAATGTGCCAAGTGTCTATCAACTGGTGAAACTAATTATGGCATACCTATATAATGGAATACTGTTCCTCATACAAAGGAACAACTACTGATACATGCAACACCATAAATGACTCAACAGCATTATGCTCTGTGAAGGAAGCCAGGTTCAAAAGACAACATACTATATGATTCATTTATATGACATTTGGAAAAGGGAAAACTATAGGGACAGAAATCCAATCAGCACTTGCTGAATGGCTGAGGGAAGGGGAGGTACAAAGAGGTAGGAAGGCTTTTTAAAATTTTTATTTTTCGTAATAGAAATACTATGTATCTTAGTTTTTGCAATGGTTAAAATTTTTGCAATCACAAACTGTATAAGTTTGTCAAAATTCATAGAACTTTACACCTTAAAAGAGTGAATTTTACTGTTTGTAAAGTATACCTCAATCAACTTCTTAAAAATTCTTGCAAGTGTTGGGTAGAGAATATTTCCTTGGCAAAAGTAGGAATATTTGATCACCCGTGTTCTTTGTTGCTTTAAAGAATTTGCATACATGTTTCCTCTACTTAAGGAGCCTCTTTCCTCCCCTGCCCCCACCCTCCAACCCCCCAATAGCTCCTTATTCTCCTTTGGGTTTAGTAAAGCATTACTTTCCCCAGAAAACTTTACTGGACCCCATAAACTTGGAACGTGCTCTTGCTATGTGCTCTTAATGACACTCTTATTTAGTTCATATGGAGGGTTATATCATACTCGATTGCAACTGCTTATTTAATTGTCTTTTTCTCTCTTTATTCTGTAAGCTCCACAAGGGCAGGAATAGCATCCATCTTAGCTAACTATTGCAAAGATATTTGCATTTAGCACAGAGCCAGGAATGATATTTGTTGAATGAATGGGGAGAAAGAAGGTTCGGAATGGCTCAATGAAAAATTGAATATTAAATTGATAAGGAATGAAAAATATGTAAGTTATTTCCACAACTACATCTCTAATCCTGACTCTAACCCATGTCTCACCACCAATTCTGATTTTCTCTCATATCTTCACATGGATGTACCACCGTTACTTTAGCCTTAATATTACTAAGCAGAAGTAAATTTTCCTCCTCAATTTTATTCAAATTGAATTCTTTTCCCAATTATTCTATTTCTGTCAAGTGTTATCTCTATACTTACAGTTTTCCAAAGGAGAGACCTTAGAATTACATTTAACTTTTCCTTCTATTTGCTCTCTCATCTAGTTTGATATAAAAATTTGTAAATCCTTCTTTTAAAATGTTTCTTTTTGCTTTTCCATTCCTACTGATGTTCTTATAGAGCCAAATCTGTCCAGAGAGGCAGGCACTAAATAAGGAAACACATTCTAATATGTAATTAATTATGACTTGTGATAAGTACATGACGGAAATAAACAGAGTGCTGGTACAGAAAATTATGGGATGGAGAGGACCTAATCTACATAGGGTGGCAAGAGAAAACTTCTTTGAGAATATTCTATTTAAGCTGAGAAGAGTGAGAGAGAGCTAGCAGCAACAGGAAGAATAGAAGGCCATATTAATAGAAGGGAAAGTCTGTGGCTAGGATTTGAGGTGGGAAAGAAATTGGTGTCCAACATAGCCTGTTCCAGGAACTGAACGATGATTGTAGCTGGAGGGCAGTGAGCAATGGGGAAGAGTGACAAAGAGGAGATTGGAGAAGCAGGCAGGGACCAGGCCATGGTAAGTGTTATACACTATGGCAAAGGGTTTAGATATTATTTTGCCTAAGGTGAAGCTACTGAAGGATTTTAATCTAGGGAATAAAATGTGAGAAGTTTAAACTAAAATACTAGATTACAACAATGAGCAACATAGGAGGGAGGGTGATTGGAAGTAAAGCCTTCTAAGGCCCTTGATTATGCAGGATGAAAATAAGATAACTTACTTTATACTTTCTCATGAACATGTTAAAAAGGTATAGGTAATTATCAAGACCATAGAATTATAGCCAATAAAATTAAAGAGGAATAAATAAAGCCAGATCAATCCTATAAAAGGCATGCAAGGGAGAGTATGTATTTGGGGGTGGAGGGGGTGGGGAGTGGGGAGGAGAATCAGAGAAAACGCATTATAAATAAAAAACAAAACATATAGAGCCCTAGCCGGTTTGACTCAGTGTATAGACCCTTGGCCTGCAGACCGAAGCACACTGGCTTTGATTCCGGTCAAGGGCATGTACCTCGGTTGTGGCTTCCACTCTCTCTAAAAAATCAATGAAAAAATATCCTCGGGTGAGGATTAAACACACACACACACACACACACATACACACACACACACACACACAAACAACAACACAGAATTGTAGAAATAGGTCCAAATATGTTAGTAATTTTAACATATAAATAGATTTAACTTGTTGGTTAAAATCAGATTAGATAATAAGAAAATATCTAGCTATATACTGTCTAACATAAACATAGTTAGAACATAAAGTCATACAAAGGTTGAAAGGAAATGAATGGAAAATAAATGATGGCCAGAAATAGCCCCCAAAATGCAAGTGTAGTAATATTAGTGCCAGACAAAATAGACCTTAATGTTAAAAGTATTGTTAGGAATAAAGGTTTTTTAAAAATATTTTTAATTGATTTTGAGAGAGAGAGAGAGAGAGAGAGAGAGAGACATTGATGTGAGAGCAAAGCATCAATCAGCTGCTTCCTGCATGTCCTCCACTGGGGATGGATCCTGCAAGCCAGACATGGACTTGTACCCTGACCGGAAATCAAACTGGCAACCTTTTGGTGCACAGGACAGCACCCAACCAGCTGAACCACACCAGCCACAGCAGGGATAAAAATTTTAACAAATAATAAGTAACTTACCAAGGAGATATAGCAATTCTGAGTCTGTATGTCTCTTACATTACATCTTCAATAGATGTAAAACAAAATGCCATTGACAGAATTGCACTAAGTTAACAAATCTTTTATTACAGAGGGAGATTTTTTTAACCACATTTCCTACAGAAACAGAAGTCTGACAAATATTAATAAGGATATGGAAAATACGAACAGCACAGTTAACAAGCGTGATTCCATGGATGTCGCCGGAACTCTTCACCTAAATGAGAGCACATATTCACAAGTGCACATGGAAAACTTAAAAATTTCACTGAGAAGCCAGTCTCAATAAATCACAAAAGAATTGATGTCATACAGACCACATTTTTTTAAATAAAAATAAAAAACAAGAAAAAAAACAAAAAGCTCCACACCCTATAATAGAGTGGCTTTTAGTTTATGCCTTAAGCAATTAGGTGGATGGTAGTAGTGCCATTTCCTGAGATGGGAAAGGCTAAAGGAGAAAATGGATTTTAATCTGGGTGGATATGGGGTCAGAGGAAAGGGGAACCAATTTAGAGATGTTTGGCCACCCAACACATAGCAAGACAGATGTAACTCAACTGATTCACCAACCATAGATTTAATGGGCTTGCTGTGACCACACTTCTTTTCTTTTATTGCACTTCTTATTTTTATTTAATTTATTGGAATTACATTGGTTAATAAAGTTATATAGGTTTAAGGTGTACAATTCTATAATACATCATCTGTATGTTGTATTGTGTGTTTACTACCCTAAGTCATGTCTCTTTCCATCACCATCTATCATCCCTTTACTCTTTAGTGCCTCCCCCACCTCCATTTCCCTCTCACACTTCTTTGCAAAGAACCCTCTTTCTGCCCTAACTGGTTTAGCTCTGTGGTTAGGGCGTCAGCTAGTGTAGTAATATTACACTACTGAAGGGCTGCGGGTTCAATCCCAGTCAAGATTTGATTCTGTCTCATTTCTCTCCTATGAATGTTTCTCTCTCTGTCTCTCCCTCCCCCTTATACTCTCTCTAAAAAGATCAATGGAGAAACTATCCTTGGGTGAGGATTAACAACAAAAAAGAACCCTCTTTCTATTTTGGGATTTTTGTAAATTTGTTTGAAAATCACCTGTTTAAATTAATATTGCCTATTAATTGCTTATGCTGCCACCTGGTGGTATACTTTAGGATAATAGGATATGTGTTTTGTTTATTACAGGAATTCCTGTACACTTTTTTTAAATTAAATAAGCAAGGATTATAAAACCATTGATGTCATTGTTCAGAATATTGCCCTTCTTATCTCTACATTATGCATTCTTATATCTCAAAATATCAGTATCGCCTTAATAGTGAACTGTTATTTTTATACAAGATTAGATCCCCCCAAATGGAAAAAGCTTAATGCATAAAAATTATACAAATAACTAATATTTGTTGAATGCTTACTCTGTGCTAGGCACCAGTGTAAGTTCTTTCAAAAACATCTCATTTAATATTCACAACAATCCTATGAATACTATTATGCCTGACCTGAAAAAATTGAGGCATAGAAAGATAAGTAATTTACTCAAAGCTTCACAGCTAGTAAACAACAGAACTGAGATTTGCTTATAGGAAATACTAGAGGCCCGATGCGTGAATTCGTGCACGAGTGGGGTTCCTTGAACTGGCTGGCAATTGGGGCTGTCTTGCTCAGTCCCCATTGGGCCGGTGGCCAACTTCCCATGGCCCCTCCCCACACCAGCCGATGAGGGTGGGC